AATTTAAAATCTAAAAATATAATATAATATAATTTTTGTACTCAAAATCTATAAAAAAAAATTATGAATTTAATTTGAAAATTCATACAAAAGTAAAGGCACATGTTAGACATACCTATAATAATTTATAGTAGCTATTTTATGTTAGTTATCATTTTTAGCTAATAAAAATACTCATTTTAGCAATAGTGTCATGTAATCTAATAACCATATGAATTGTTTTATTAAGTGTAAAATTCTTGTATGGCACAAATATATATATATATTTTTAATTTTTCAATAATTTCAAAATCTTCTTGTAACTATTGTTCTCAAATCGCAGAACTAATCAATGCGAAACAGTTTTTGGGAATTAAGGATTTAAAGAGAACAAGTACGGGATTCGGCGAGTAAGATTTAGGTGGTGGGCGAAGGAGGACTGGCAAGATTTGCGGAAGACAGATAAGGGAAACGATCAAGGGAGGTCAGTGTCCACGTTGGTAGATCCAGATGGCCAGGAATTGGTTATGTGGTACTGACATGGAAAGGCTGGCAGATTTCTAATAGACAGACACGAGACGTACGATATGGGTTTTAAGGTAAGGTGCTGAAAGTTACATAATCGATTAGTAAGGTAGAGAATTTCTCATGAATTTTTGCCCAATATTTTCCACATTTTCTTTCGAGATCCAAGTCTTGTTTGGAAAATTTCCTTCATTTTCTTCACTTTCTCTGTTAATTCTGGCTTTTGGAAAATGCTTTTCGGTTGTTTTAACTTTGATTTTTTTTTTTTTTCTTTTTATTATTTTAAAAATATATAAATTATTAATTAAAATAAATATTTTATATATTTTTACAATATTGAAAGACCAAAAAACTTGTAGCTATAAGCTATAACTATAGGGTAGCACTCTCAAAATAAACCCTAATCTAATCAATATCCTTCATTACGCTTGGCAAATGAGCGGATTGAGTCGGGTTTGGGTTGGTCAATTTGAGTGACGGGTTATACAGCTTGGATCATAAACGGGTAATGAATTGGAAAAGTCCAACCTTAATCCAACCCTAACAGGGTACGGGTTAACCCGCGAATTAACCTTATTTTCATTCTTTATAATTATTTTTATTAATTTTATTATATACAAATAAAATTATATATATCTAAATCTAATTAAAGTATTGAAACTCATTAACACTAAGCACTTTATCGTCTCAACCACAAACATTTAAATTTAAAAAATAAACCTTTTCTCCCTGGAAATCTTCTTTTCCTTCTAATCATCCCTTTCCGCTTTCCAATGCTTCATCAATCATCACCATGAAGGCTCTCTTCTCCTGTACTCCGCTACTCATTCCTATCTCTGTATATACTATACATCACCTTTGTCTCCTTCACTAAATACTATTTTTCCTTTGATTATCTTATTTTGGTTCAAAATATCCCTAAAAATTTTACTGCTATATATATCTCCTACCCATGCCCTATAAAATCTTCGGGCAAACTTCTAGTTAACATTCACTACAATGGTAAGTTGCAAATAGATACTCATATGAAAATTCCTCACATTCAAATCATTAGATGTCGGAACTGGCACATTGATGTTCAAATTTGGTTGCCGCATTACTTCTGTTTGGAGAAGTGCTAATTCATTTTCATATTCATTGGTGGATTTGTTGGTCGGAAGCCATGAAAGAAAACTCCTAATATTGCGCATCTTTTTTAGTCGGCAAGAATTTGGAGCTAAAAATTGAGTTAGAAATTAACACAAGTGAACCAGCGGGATGCAAGAGTATAGTATTTGATTTCATTTTTCTCTTTCCTTAACAGTATATTTGGATTGAGGGTTCCTTGATAGTATGTTTTGGTTAAAGGAAATTGAGATAAAATGAATTTGATCCTTTCATTTGCCTCTTCTCTCTTTTTCCCTTATTTAGATAAATATATAAATTACAAATATATATATATATATATATCAGTCCTCTTTTTTTTTTTTTTTTTTGGAACAATGGAAAATTTTTTCAGGGAAAAGAAAAAAGGACTTAGGATTAGAATCTAAGTTTTGGCAGTTCTAAGTACGTCCTGCAATGAGGGGTTCAAAGTGCTGGACATATATATATCAGTCCTTAATTCTTAGCCAAACTAAAAAATGTATTACCTGAAAACAAATGGAGTGCTTATATATACAAAGAAAGATGGGAGTGCTAATATATACAGAGAAATGGAAGTCGTGTAATATACTTGTCTTCCTAAAATTTTTTTGAGACTTGTCTAAAAATTTAGTTTTTAATTAATATTTACAAAAACTAATTATTGAATTGAATTAAATCGTGCATATCAACATTTGAGATGACAACCGGAGAACACTTTTTCCCTAGATGGGAATGGAGATGGTATATACTCTTACGTGGTTAAATAATCTGGAAATTTACCGGAATCTGTCCCAAGTACTTTACCGCCAACATCTGGGAATTTCTCGTACCCAGGCAGAGGACCTACTTTTCCATTTTTATCTACATGGATAGGATACTTGAGGAGGTGGCCTTGCATTGGTGTAAAATCAGCAGCTGTGAATTTCTCCCAGTTGATTGTAGCAATCTCATTTACTGTCCTTATGCATTCTTGACTTTCTGGCACCCTGAAGTGACTATTCATTGTACCAAGATGTTCTGCCCACAGCGAATTTCTATAACCATATACCTGCAGGATGGGAAGGACTTAGTCTGTATGGGAAACAGAGTAACGTTATCAATACGGCAAGGCTCAGTTAAAAGAAATGTTTGTTGAATGTTTCATTTCAAAAGCTGAAAATTTTGTTATAGGAAGAGGAGAGGGACATGGATCAAAAAGCAATTTTGAGAATGGCAAACAAGTTCATAGAAAAGAGAAGAAAAGTTGGTTCATAAAATTAGGAGTTCTGAAAAATGTGAAACAAGAAATACAAACCTGGCCACATGGATGTCTCTTTTTCCTGGCCCATGTGTGATAGGGCTGATAGGCACCCATTGCTATCTCTATGTCTTTCGTACCAGCCATGGATCTTTGGTTAATATTAGCAGATCCAATTATCACATATTCATCATCTACTATCATTGACTTGGAATGCACATAAATCATGAATCTTCCAAATCTTTGTGAATCATATACCTGAGAGAGAACATTCCAATTAAAACCAACTTCTCATTGAATTCCTTCCAAATGTAAACTAAATATCTATACGTGAGAGCAAACAAAAAGTAATTAACAATCAACCACGTAATTTACAAATCTGTAGAATTGTGCATGGCTTCTGTGATAAGCTTAAAAGAGGCTCAACTAGTTACCTTATCACCATTAATGGCCAGCTTTTCCTCATGGATGCTTTCCCTTTTACCGAGACAATAGAAATTGAGGAAATCTAGAGGATGTGAGTCCAGACGGTTCATCTCTCGTAGTTCTTTTGCAATAATAGTATACATCATTTGCATTGTCTGATACTGAAAGGCAGCAAAATAGAATAAAAACATGATGTCTTGACGCCTTTTTTCTCTAAGAATGAAGCAATATTCCCACCTTAACAGATAAGCTGAACCAACTAATGATTAGCAATTAAGCAAAATGGTATATCTTACAAGATCTAACAAGCAGTTAACTGGAGTAACAACTAAGAATAATACATAAGCTTTGTTGTCAACATTGCTTTATAGTTTTATCACAAAGAAGAAACAACAAATGAAGATTTTGACTGAAAATAATTCAGGAAGGAAACAGACACTAACTTGCCAAAAGAGAATCTCCTGCACTATTTCAGACTTTGGATCACCCTCAGGATAAATTGGAATGATGACATACACTGCAAACCTCTCATTTGCTTTAATTTTATTAGCAATCTTCAGTGCCAACTCACTTGGGATTAGATTGTCAGCACCTGGTCATACCATTAAACAGATAAACATGAAACATTCAAAAGAAACAATTATGTAGCTGAACTCTTTTACTAAAACAATATAAAGACTCTACATAGCAACAGAAGAAAACATTACTGACCTGCACCTTTATATGATGGCCATGCATAAGATGATCCAATAAAATATTGATTTTCAATATATATGTAATGTTGAGCAGATCTAATCGCCTGAACATAAGCTATTTGAATGCTTTTGTCTATTACCAGACCTTTTGAACACACAAGATTCTGCAAAGAAGAGTTCCATTAAGATTTAAAAACTACAACTTAGCTAATATTGACAGGTTTTTAAAATCTCATCAAAAGAAGTAGTTTCCTATGAAACCTGGTCATAAGCTTCATCAACATATACTGGGAATCCTTTAGCTGCTCCTGAGTCAGTGGATCTGAAAATCTGTGAAAGAAAAACAGAAATGGATCAACTGTTACAAATTGTTTTTATAAAGAAAATGAACAAAATCAAAAAATAACACGTTGCATATAATCACTAAACCAAAAACTTGCATTACATAACCTGAACATGCCAGCTTTCAGGATCATCTTCGTCAGAAACCCTTACTTTGGAGTCATCAATTGGAACTATTGTGGTACCATCAGGTGACATAGACAGGGAAGGACTTAGTATCTGTGAGATACGTTGTGTCTTAATCAAAGCATTGTCATTGTCAGCTGATTGCCTCCAATGCTGCTCAAAGCTTAAAAAAACGTCATATGCAGCTGGCCCATCAACCCTGCAGTGCAAGTCATGCCACGGTTGTCTTGGAGCCTTGATTTCTGACTGATGACAAAAGTGTAATGACTCTGTCCTTAGGTGCATAAATAAGGAAAGTTCTTTGATTATTTGCTAAATTGTCCTAACCTATGTCCTTAATTGTCTAGTTAATAGAAATAGGGCAAGCTATAATGGTACTTTTGTTTCAATAATGATATTTCTCAATGATTAGCATGCACAACAAGATCCCTCTTTTTAAATGGCTGCCAAACATGCTCAGCATGTAGTTCTGGTAAGAACAAACAACAAAAGATTCAGATTTTTCATTCTCACATATTTGCTAAATTGTCAATTAAGAAAACACAATTAAGCTTGGTTTGAGGACTGAGATCACAAAGACAGAGAAAATATGTATCTTTAGAGATTATATTTCGCCCAGTTATGACAATATCATTCAATTGAATATATTGAATTTATCTCCATTTTTTCTTAGAGCTTCCATTTTTTAAATTGAGATATTGATGAGGAACAAGAAGCGGATATGGAAGAATTATTTGAATTATTCAAATTACCTAAGATTCATAAGTAATTATTTTTATTCAAGTGTAGTTATCATTAATTTTCCTACTTTTATGGCTATATGCCCAAATCCACCTCTAAAGTTAAGTAGTAGGGACAAATCCACTCATAAAATTTTTAACTTAGATAAATCACCTTAAATTTAATGTGTGACATCATCTAATGTCAATAATGCATTAACAATGAACTTATCAACGACATAACAAATTAACAGATTGTTGATGTTAGGTGATATCACACGTTAAATTTTAGATAATTTATCAAAGTTAAAAATTTTATTGATAGATTTGTCCTTGCTTTTTGTTCAAAGGTGTATCCGTCCCTACTGACTAACTTTAGGGGTGGATTTGGATATTTTGCCAACTTTTATTAGAATTAGGTCTTTTATTTAGGGTTTTAGAAGTGTTCTATTACTTTTATTTATTAAGAGTCTAAGTCCCCCAGTTGAATTAAAAATTTTAAATTTTAAGTTATAGTTCTAATTAGAATAAAAATTCTAGTAGGCGTCTTAGTCATTTCTATATAAATAAGCTAATAATTGAATATTCAAAATTTGCACCGAGAGTTTTTTTTTTTGAAATTATGTGATGCAATATTGGTTGTGTTGTGTGACGCAACCACCCTTAGGTGTGATGCCTAAGGTTTTTACTCTCTTTAGGTATGATGGCTAAGAAATCTAGGTCTGACTTCTAGGATTTTTTATCTTTTTTGTTTTCTTTTCTTTTTCCTCCTTTCCATACTCAAAGAGCAACTTAAACCCTATTTCATTATTCATGTATACTGTCTATAGCCTACATTTATCTTCAAATAGCCCTAAATCCCTAAGCCCACCATACCAACTAACTTGTCCCGTATTAGTTGATATTAGAGCAAAAGATCCTTAAAAAAAAAAAAAAAATCTAAAGATTCTTGTTGAATTTTTTTTTCTTCCATCATGATGACAAACAGTGAATTGAATTCTAAAGTTACAAAAAAAGAATGGAAAGAAATCAAATCTGCATTTAAGCAGTGGGTTAAAAAATTGATCAACAAGGAAATTCATAAGAAGAACTTAATTAAAGAAGTGGATGGCAATGACATAAAAGAAAATTTCATGACAATAGAGTACAGCAAAGAAGTTGAAGACAAGCTGGATGATGCATTAGAAATCCAAGATGCGCTAGAAACAAAAGTGGAAATCAAAGCATGTCTTGAAAACAGCTTTAATGGTGTTGAATTAAATTCTACTTTTCAAGATGTTCAAGCTAGAAATTTCATCTTTCTAGTGGAGTTTGACACTAAACAAACCTCTTTGCTATCAAGCTTGTTGGGGCCAAAAGAACTTAAGTCATGTCAAGTTTTGCTACCACAGTTTGTGACCTCAAGAATTCTAATACTTTAACACTTCAAAACTTGAGGTCAAGTTTTCTCCAACAAGGGGAAAATGATGAGGAACAAGAAGTGGATATGGAAGAATTATTGAAGCGGATATGGAACGATTGTTTGAATTGTTTAAATTATCTAAGATTCATAAGTAATTATTTTTATTCAAGTGTAGTTATCATTAATCTCCTTACTTTTATTAGGATTAGATTTTTTATTAGGTTTCGTTTGACAATGCTAACCTATAGCTTCAGCGGTAGATTTTTTGGTCCTTTAACATCCCAAAAATATATAAAATACATTTAATATATCTAATATTTATTTTTGTTAACATTTTATATATTTTTAAAATAGTAAAAAGACAAAAACCAAAAGCTAAAGTATTGAGAAGTGTTCTCAAACTAGGCCTAAAAGTTTTAGAAGTCTTTTACTATTTTTATTTATCAAGAGTCTAAGTCCTAATTGATTTTGAAATTTTAATTTCAAGTTATAGTTCCAATTAGAATGCTAATTCTAGTAGAAGTCTTAGTAGTTTCTATATAAATATACTTATTCTTTAATTATATAGTCAAGTTAATCAAATTCAAAATTTGCAGCAACAGTTTTCTCTTAAGATTATGTGATGCAATTTTGGTTGTGCAATGCAACCACCCTTAGGTGTGATGCTTAAGACTTTTATCTTCTTTAGTTATGTTGCCTAAAATAACCTAGGTGCGATTCTTAAGATTTTTATCTTTTTTGTTACTTTCTGTTTTCCTCTTTTCCATACCCTAAAGAGCAAATTAAAGCCTATTTCACTGTTCATGCATACTGTTTATAACCTAAAATTACCATCAAAATCCGTAAATCCACAAGCCCACAAGACACCCTATCCTGTTCCGCACCAGTTACCGAATTAGAAATTGCAGAATAAGTCATGGCTTTTCAATTACCATAAAACAAACCATGACAATAGAACATGAGTTAAGCAGCAAACCAGAATCAACAGCAGTTCTTCTCCTTCATCCCTTAATATACAAGAATATATTCTATACAAGATGCTTTACTAATATTGACGCAAGATCCTAGTAATATTAACAAGAAAATGCATCATAGAAAATTTTGACAGAGATAATCATATTCTCTGGGAGAGTGCATAAAATAAATTCTAAATCTAAGATAGGAATTACTCACAGGAAGTGTACGATTACGAAAATCATCCTTAAAAACAGTGTCAAGATCACGAAATAACCGATGCTCAGGTGTATCATAACGACCATCAGAGAGATCAAAACCACCTAGGAATGCAGTTATCTTTCGATAATTGCCAACTGCTTGTGTGTCAACAAGAATACATTTTTGATGATTCGAGAACATGGTTCTAAGGACCTGTACAAAACCACCATGGAAGTAACTTCAAGGCAAACATAATGAATGCTGGCCAAACTAAACTGATCAATGAAATCCACCACATGAATATGCAGTGAAAAAGTGAATCCACAAGGTCGTTTTGCTGTGCATTCAATTAATACCGAAACATTGGTTGGGTGGTTATTCAATTCCTTTAACATCACCGTGATCATAGAACCAAAAAATAACTAATTTAATTCATGTCAAATGAGTTCATTTGATGGACAATAACAATTAATTAAATAAATAACTTACCAGTTGTTTCATAAGACTAAGCTTCTTGCTTGCACAACGAGGAGTGAGAACACAAGTAACATAAGAACCCTCAAAAAACCTTTTTGTTTCTTCATCATGCGTCTGCATCACTCCAGACTGCATCCATTGAAAATTATACATTCTAATCAGCATAATTGTAGATTTCCTTATTTATTAATGGCATACCTTTCTATTTTGGGTTCACTAGAAACCTACTATTTTTGTCTAGCACTCACTTGTAACAAACAAATTAAGATATAAAAGGAAACGTGGATTACCACTTAAACACACAAGAGCAAAAAAGTAAAACGTTTAACAAAAAATTTATATTTGAATTCTTCTCACCGTGATTCCGAATTTATCACACGAAGGTTGATCTTCCCAGATCAACAACAACACTCGAACCCCTTCTTCTGATTTGTACTTGAGCAACTGACCAAGCGTCAAATTCGCACCTCCAGGCAATGGCCTGCTCGGCTCCCTGACAAGCCTAATCTTACAAAACACTGACCAACCCGCAATGTATATCAGACGTTGCGCTTCTGCTATAGCAAAACAAATATCTTCAAAACAATTGTGCTGCAGAAAAACTCGTCGGTCTTCCTGTTCAATTTCAGGCAAGATTCCGTTAGGCACATGGGCATCCTGGTAGAGCCTTAACTCACATCCTTTCCTCAGTGGGAAATATGTGTGCCTTACCCCGGCATGTTCTGGATCGCTGGGGATGCTTTGACCATACAGAGGATTTTTATCGAATGGCGTGAATTTTATCTCAATCTTAAGAGTGCAATCCCTGTACTGCTTCCCATTTTGACGGATCAGGGGAAAATATTCGCTGATTAGCTCGCCGGTGGCGATTCTCTGAGCCGAGATCTTAACCTTACCCTTGACCTTCGCCCCATTCGTTTTCTTAACGACTTTAAGTTTGAATTCGAGGTTTTCTACGGGATGACAGAGGAAGACAAAGAACTTCTCGCCCCATTGTGGGTTTATGGCATTTTCTATGACACGCGTGCGAGCCACTGTAGCTTCGGGTACTGAGACCGTAACATATGCATTAATGGGGCGTCTCCTCACATGTTGCTGTCTTTCCTGGTCACCGTGCGACCCAACTCTCAAAGAATTGAGAAGGCGATTTAACCTAGACAAGTCGGGTAGGGCTCTAGCTTCACTGATTTCCAATTCTAGGTCGCCATGAAGTAGAATAAGTGGGTTTGCTGAATTTTCCGCCATTGCACAAACCCTAAAGTCGTAGCAGGGAGCAACGATTGAGGAACTGAACATGATTTGGCTTTTGATTACTCTGTATAGATTTTCCGATGACCTTTTGAAGTGGGATCCAACATGGAACTTTTTGAGCTGGACTACCTTTTTCTTTCAGATTAGATTCCACTACCACCCCATCCTGTCATGGTCATGGAAATAATTGACGTTGGCATTGGGCGAAGCATTTTCCAATAGAATATTCAGACAGGCCCGAGAAAGTCGAGACCACCAATATCTTCTAGAAAGATTTTTTTTTTAATGAAAAATAGTGATTTTGTTGAAAAAAAAAAAAAGAAATTAAATGCTACTGCCATTTGCTATTTATTGTTTATTAGCTGAATTTTACATTTAAAGCAAACATGCCCTTAATACTATGCTTATGATAAATTAGATAATTAAGTTTGAAAAGTCAGGTAGAATTAGAGATTAAAACAATTACTATAAAAGTAAAGATAAAGCCACTTAAATAGAAGAATTATTCTATGAAGCAGTCAAAGTTACTAAAAGTTTTATTAAAATTGCAATCTTTCAAAAAAAATTAATAATTCAATACATAACAGTCCTTATTTACCAACTGTTATTCCACCATAACCATTTCAATATGACCAGCTAGATTGACCACAAACCATTTCTCAATAAAAAAAACCACAGGAAGATTAACTTCCAAGATGCAAAATTAATTATAGAATTTTTATATTCTTTGCCTTTTGGGGCACAAGATAAATCTTATTAATTACAGTAGTTTTTTCATTAAATTTAGATAAATTTAATATAGCTGATTATAGAGTTCAATATAATCGATTCTTCACTTTGTTTATATGATAAATTTAGAGTTAAAGCCAATTGTGTCGTTCCTCTACTTTTAATTTTTCTCATATCCATCCTCCTATTAAGAATTTGTTCATTGTTATCCCCCCCACTTCCCAAACTGTAGTCAACCTCGTCCCTGCACTTCCTATTTTTTCGTTCAATGTAGCTCTCATTTAGATTGTGTTCTTCAACCATATTTTCAACGTTAAGTGCCTAATGTTAATTTTGTTTTTATTTTACTTGTATAATAAAAAATAATTATTTTTTATTTTTTATTTTATTTCACTTATATACTATATAATTTAAATTTAAAATTTTTTATTTAAAAAAATCACATTTATTTATCTAGATTGTTGGCTACGTTAATGATTAAAGTATCTGTGTATTAATATTTTTTCCGTTCAGTCTGACTAGGAGGAGACAAGCGGGGACCACATATATTTCTTTTTTCAACAGAAAACGGAAGAAAAGAGAAAAGGTCGCCTTCTTGAAATGCGCAGTTGAACATTTGCATTGTTCAATGCATCCCCTTGTCCAATACATGCTTCTTGTACACGTCTTTTCGTCAAATTCAAACACTTATATTGTCTCTATTTCATGCATGCAACAATTGAACTTTTTCCTAATCATTAGGAATTAATAATTCACAAAGGTAAATTATATTTAATACTATAAAAAAATAAAAATTAAAATATTTAAATATTTAAATATTAAAATTTTTATTATTATTTAACAATTTTAATAAATTCTTTTATACGTTAATTTATTATTAATATTTAAAAATTTTTATAAAAAATTTTAATATTTTAATTATCAAAATATTTTAATTTTTTACTATGTAAAATGTTATATAATATTAAATTTACCCTTATCGAACTTATGAAAAACTCTTAAAAAATTCAGCTGTCGTCCTTCTCTCTCCCCTCTTCTCATTTGCCAGGAGGGATCTAAGTAATTCACCTATAATTGTGGACTGAGGGTATGTTTGGATGAGCTTGTAAGAGTTTCAATTTTTTGTTATTATTTATATTTTATAAATTAAAATTTTTTTCTTTAAAATTTATATTTTTAAATTTTTAAAAAATCTCAAACAGTAAAAACTTAAAAATTTTAAATTTAAATTTTTCATAAATTTTTTTTACTTATTTTTTACTTACTTTTTACTCATTTTTTTTATTTTTAAAAATAATTTTTAAATTTTTTTTTAATAAAAATTTAAATTTACCACTTATAACAATATTTAAAAAACAAAAACTCTCGTCAACCAAACCAAATAAGCTCTAATTTTGATTGATGAAGACCTTTTAGTTATACGAAACGCTTGAAACATGCATACCTTCTTCCTTTTTTTCTTTTTTTTTTTTTTAAATAGGTAATGGAGAAACATGCGTGCCTTCTTGATATTTCGAATTAAGAGAACGAAAATGATATCTTAAGAATGTTTATCAAAAACATGACATCACATAATTTTAATAGACTCTTTTTATTAAATGAGATGAACCCATCTATGTATTTGTTCATTTGGTATATATTTGGGTTATTGCCGATATTTTTTATCTTTTGTTTTTTATTTTAAATGATAATTAATTGATGAAATATATAAGTCAACATGTATTTACTAATTTAATGATGTAGTATGACTATTTTAAGATTTCATTTTAAAAAACATGGTATGAGAATCAAAATAAAATAATATACTATTAACAATACAGAGCAAGATGTTAACTCAAATTAGATTTCAGTGATTGAGATTTTCTAATATATATCTTTAAAATGTAGATTAAATCTTATTAATTATAGTATTTATAATTAATTTTGTGTAAATTTTCATATAAGATTCAAATAAAATAAAATTTCAGTGATTGAGATTTTCTAATATATATCTTTAAAATGTAGATTAAATCTTATTAATTGTAATATTTATAATTAATTTTGTGTAAATTTTTATATAAGATTCAAATAAAATATAATATAAAATGTAAAAATA